CGCCTGGGTGGCTCAGTTGGTTAAGCGTCTGACTTCAGCTCAGGTCATTTATCTCGTGGTTCACGGGTTCCAGCCCCGCATCTGGCTCTGTCCTGACAGCTCAGAGCCTGGAACCTGCTTTGTGGATTCTGTCTCCCTCTCTGTCTGCCCCTCCCCTGCTCGTATTCATTCTCTCTCTCTCTCTCTCTCTCTCTCTCTCTCTCTCAAAAATAAATTTAAAAAGTTAAAAAAAAAATCTGGATGGGTCAGCTGGCTAAATGTCTGATTCTTGATCTCAGCTCAGGTCTTGGCCTCAGGGTCATGGGTTCAAGCCCCACATTGGGCTTCACTCTGGGCATGGAGCCTAACAAAACAAACAAACACACAAATAAGAAAAAGTGAGTAATAGAAGGAGGTTACCAGCACATGGAATTTATTTTTCCAGAGAAACGTGAGAGTAAAGTAGCAGAAGTTCAAGAATACAGAGGCTGGCAGGAGGCCTGGGTGGCTCAGTCCCTTAAGTATCTGACTTGGGGTCAGGTCATGATCTCAAGGTTTGTGGGTTCAAGCCCCGCATGGGGCTCTGTGCTGACAGCTCAGAGCCTGAAGCCTGTTTTGGATTCTTGGTCTCTCTCTGTCTCTCAAAAATAAATACACATTAAAAAAAAAAGGTGTTTTTTTTTTTTAAAGAAAAAAAAAAAACTTGGAATGTGTATATAAACCCTTTCTAAAACTAGAGAGGTCTTTTGTCAGCTTTATGACCTAGAACTGTCTTTCTTAAAGACCTGGGAGCCCTTTCTTTGTAGTGTAGACACGAAGGGGGATGCCCCTGTTCCGGTTCCCACCCCGGCCCCTTCTGTCTCCCTCTCTCTACTTCTCTCAGAGGGTGGGAACCTAACTTGAGTGGGTGCCTTTTTCCAAGTTGTAAAATAATCTCCTGTCATAAAGATATCAGAAGTTTGTTATCCCTCTGGAAAAAACCAATTCGCTAATGCAGAGGGTCGCCCCAATTACCTCGTAAAGTCAGGATGAAGTATGTGTGACAAATGGTGCCATCAAGTCCCCTGACCTGGGGACTAGTCGTTGTCGTTTATCTGGAGAACAGGCAAGTAATGGGTGGCATCTGCTTGGCCGTGTAAGAGGGTGAGACCCCTCCTCGCGATCACTTAGCAGAATGTGTCGACGTGCAGCACGTTCTGCTTTGGCGCTTATTCGATAACAAGACTGTTTTCTTATCCTGCTACCTCTGCAGAGAGGTTTTCTGGATCTGAAGATTTTGTTTTTAATTGTATTTCCCAGGAGTAGGTGCTCTGTCAGCACGGCTGAGGTCTCCGATGACAGCCAGCTGCCCACCGTGGGAATGAGCCAGCCTGGATGTCAGGCCCCGTAAGCCCTCAGATATCTGACTGTAGCCCCGGCCAATATCTGACCGTAATGACACGAGAGACCAGGCCAGGCCCCCCCTGGCTGGACCAGTCAATCGTAGAACCATGAGCAGTAACGACAAATTATCGTTTTAAGCCGCTAAATTTTAGGGGAGTTTATTCTACAACAAGACATTACCAAACAAACGACTTGTTCTCGCAACTAAGAGCTGACTGATACATACAACCTCTTCTTCTGTGTGATGAGTATCTTCAGAGATAGGCGTCTGTTCCATCTCTGAACCCCCCTCTTGAAACGGGTGTTAACTTTTCGCACAGAGGGAATTACTAATACATATTTCTCTTAAATCGCTTTTTGGACAGATTGCAGTTTCAATCAAGTAAAAGCAACAAATTGGATGCAATGCATGTCAGTCGAAATGAACTGAATGTTTTTATCTAACAACTGCTTCTGAAAAGCATTTTCTCCTGTTTACACACTCCACAGATTATTTCCCTACAGTTGAAAGCCAATACATGGGAAAAGTACATGCAGGAAGTACCCAGACTTCTTCATTTATTCAAAACCATTTCATGCTTCTGTTCACGTCAGGTAGCACCACGTCGGGTTCTGTGCCTACTCGCCCCCCATTTTAATGGTATAATTAAAAGCCTTCTATTTGTTGACCAGAGGGACCTCTTCCACAAGCATCCACAGAACATTGTCAAGATTGAAACCAAATGATTAGGCGCAAAAAATGCTATCTGCAGGGACCCATTGTTTCATTTCTGTGGCGCGTCAGCCTGTGCGTGTAACAATTGTTGGATTATGTTTCCACAGATGCGGGGTGTCTCCTGAGCCTTGACTTTCCCACACCCCTGACATAATACTGACTCGCAGCCTCCACAGCAAAAGCAGTCCAGACGCTGCCTTTCTGC